CTGGCTCTTCAAATGCTGTCCATGAGAAGGGTTTGGGTCCCCCTATGGTGGGGTGTGATCAAAGACGCTCACAGCGGCAAAGCCGTCACCGAGGTTAGTATTCAGGGTCTGAAAAGACGAGAAGGGAGACTGAGACTGGCAGCCAACACCAGGCTCTCCCCATCTCACCACCATCATTGTGGCCCACGGAGACTGCCTTGAGCTGGGGAGGATGTTTATCCAGTTTACGCTGGCTTCTACGAGATGTGGGTTGAATCCCCCTCCCCTCTACACAGTACCCCCAACGGTCTCCAGACTTGGTGGCAAGCACTTCCAGAACAAAGACGGCTGGACACCCCATGGCTAAAAAACATGGTCTACGTGAGGATTAAAATGCCCGATGCCAGCAGCACACAGGGATGTGCAAGCTGCACATCACCCTGGAGACCTGGACTAGACCTCTGCTCTGACTGCTTGTGGTCTTAACATCTTCAGGGGTCTGTTTCCTGTCATGTGACTAAAACCCCACATCCCACTGCCTGTGCTCAGGACCTGCTCCTAGAGATAGAGTGCGGAGCAGACATGCAGGAAAGGTGTCAGAGGCATCAGGAGGTGTTGGTCGCATGGGAGCAGCTGCCTCCCTCATTCTCTCACCATGACAGTGCTGTCTCCACACAGGGCTAGTGTGAGAGAACACTGGGTGCTCTCACCCTTCCTAAGTGTCATCCTGAGACTTAAAGCCCCATGGCACAGTCGTGGCCAGGGCTTTTTCATGAAAAGCTTGAATCAGGGGGTTGGAGAGATGGCTCAGCAGTTAAGAGCATTGCCTGCTCTTCCAGAGGTCCTGAGTTCAATTCCCAGCAACCACATGGTGGCTCACAACCATCTATAGTGAGATCTGGTGCCCTCTTCTGGCGTGTACATGTTAGCAGAACATTGTATGCATAATAAATAATAAGTCTTAAAAAAAAAAAGAAAAGCTTGAATCAGGAAATGAAATGGCATACGGAAGGTCTTCCCAGTGGGCACTGGGCGTGGATGGCCCCAGAGCCACCTGGGGGTCACCACACCTGGGGGTCACCACACTTGGGTTTGGACATAACATGATCAGATGCCTCATTTTCCTGTGGCGACAGCTTCCCTGACTTGACAGATTAGTACCCTCCTAGACAGTGAGCCATGAGATAGCCGCCTCAGTTTCTGTTCTGTTGTTGTGATAAGACATCAAAACCCAGGCAACTAATAAGAGAATTTACTTAGGGCTCACAGCACCAGAGGGCGAGTCCATGGTCATCGTGGTAGAAAGAACGGCAGAAGGCCGAAGAACGACACAGAAGTAACGGCTGAGCATGCATCTTGAGATGCATCTCCATGGCAGAGAGAACTAACTGGCAATGGCTGGGCTTTTGACACATCCAGGACCCCTCTACCCCAGATTCAACATCCCAGATTGGGCACGCATCCTAGTCTTCCCCACACAGTTCCAAGTGGCCACCAAGCGCTCAAACCACCACAAACCCCTCCTCTCTTCAATCTGCTTTGGTAGATATTTTTCACAGTGCGAAGAGTAACTGACATGGAGGGGTAATCCCCAGAGGGGTTGTGTAATGGGGCGCTCTCTATGATCTATCATTTCATGACCAGAAGCAAAACGCTTTTTAGAAGTCAACATTAAATTTCTTTTGTAAGAAACAAGAAATTCAAAGGCAAAAATAATGTGCAGGGATCCCATTCTGCTCTCTGTTATGAGACCTGGCTGTTATGAGGCAAAGGCAGCTTGTTCCCAGGGGAAGGGCTCCTGATTGTTTACCGCATGCTCAGAGGGCCACCCTGTGCTGCCAGACTAGGGATGTTTGTTCCCAGGGGAAGGGCTCCTGCAGAGGGTTTACCACATGCTCGGAGGGCCACCCTGTGCTGCCAGACCAGGGATGTTTAGGACAGAAGTTTCAGAGCTTCTCCCAGAAGTGATCACTTAGGAGTGTTGGCCCCTTCCCACCTGCCATTTGCTAGTCACAGCATCTCCTGCAGCGTGACTAAAGAGAGCAGGCAGCCAGTGTGGGAGGCTGAGGCAGGAAGATCGCTGTGACCTAACACTGAATTTGCAGCCATCCTGGGCTATAGTGTGATATCCCATCTCATAAACAAAACAAAAAACAACGAAATAAAACAAAAAAAGCCAAAAAAAAATCCAAGCAGGTGAAACCCAAACCAATGAAACAACTGAAAGAGAGAAAAAGCAAAAAAGGGGGAGAGAGAAAAAGAAAGAGAGAGAGAGAGAATCACAGCAAACATGTCTGAGGACTCACTATGTATCAGGCTCAGCACCCCTAATTTCACCCAGGACAGCAATCCCAAAAGACTGGCACTTTTGTTGCCCATTTAACAGATCAAGGAGGGGTTCAGCTGGATTCAGGCTCTCAGTCCAATGCCCACAATGCAATGGATGCCACCGGTTTCTAGCCCTTGATCAGGCTTCCTCCTCCAACTGCCTCTCCAACCACATTAAACAGTGAGGTTGGCTTTAGTCAATTTGTACATGTACATCAATATTCAGTTTCTTCCCCCATTCGAATTAAGGGGTAGAGAAAGGCTACCACTGTCCCTGTGCGGCCCTGGCCAACGTCAGTGGTTAGGAACAGGGAAGGATACACCAAGACTGGTCTACAGGGAGCAGAGGATCTTCTGCACCCCTCAGGGGTCAAGAGCGAGGGTATGAAGCCCAGTGGTTCTGTCGGGAGCAGGGGGATTTTAACTTAGATGAAGACAGTCCTGCCCCTTCAGAAGGCAGATGTCCCAGTATCCTGCACGGCATTCATCAAGTCAGCTCATGGCTGGGGCTCTAGTGATATCAGTCAACAAAGGTTTGGAATTCCTGTCTTCCTCCAGCTGGTGTTCTGGGGAGGGGTGAACCAGTCCTTCAAGCTAGTCCTGTGTCTAATGGATCACCAGATTCTGCAGTGCAGGAAAGAGCAAGCAGCATGATCCAACCAGCAAGGTGGGTGATACGCTTGCCTTCCTGACGTTGAGAACTCTTAGAAAAACTAATGTGGAAGCAAAGTGTCCCCAAAATTATGATGAAGAAGAGTGGCCGATGGGATAGATGGCTTCATTAAGTCAAAGAACATCAAACCACTCTGGGGACATTTCCTCAGAAGGGAACAATCTTTCCCTAAGCTGCCTCCAGCTAACTCCCAACCGTGGTCCTAGGAGGACACAGCTAAGCTTCATTCCCGCACCCACGCACACGCTTGTACTCAGCCAGTCTCGGCGTGGTCCCCTTTCCTTGGCACGACCATACCTCAGCTTACTATAACTCCTTCCCAATTTCCAAGACGCAAAGCAGATTGATTCCATTTTTTTGGTGACACATTTTCTGATCACTCCTAGCTCATTTCCAGTTCCTGCAAGGAACTGGCTCAGCCGCGAAAGTCCATACCATTTCCACACTGGTCTCACAGAGCATGCGCCAAGCTCCCCCCCCCCCAAGAAACAGGCTTGTGCCTTCCCCACCTGCAGCTCTGTGAGGGCCGGGGTGGGTCTCCCTGTCCCCCTGTGTGTGAACAGCTGGTCCACAAGAAGCAATGTTGTTTGAAAAGATAGCAGGATTAAGAAATAACAAGTACAGTGCCTAGCTTATCTAAGATGTCACGGTGTGATACATATTTCCCAAACGACAAGTATTTTAACGTAGGAATTCCTTACCTAGTTTCCCCTTAGGTAACCGTCCATTCAAGAAAGCTAACGGAGACTTATTCATGTCTGATATAAGCAGGCCCGTTCGCACACACACCACAGCTGATACAAGCCTGCAGAGCCTCCTTCACTGCCCCATCTTAATGCTGTTTTTTTGAGGTGTATGGTATTGAGTGCCAGGACATTCCAGACCCACGAGGATACATCTCAGAATCAAGCAACGCTTCGGTGAGGGGCAAAAGGGCTCTCGGGGACAGCAGTAATAAGAATGAAGGACGCTCGGCAAATAGAAAAGTTATTGATTGTGGGTTGAGGGTGTCTTTATAGTTTAGGAAAATCCTAGTAAGCAAACTATTTTAAAGAAATAACAGAAGATGTTTTAAAGGTCTCAGTTACCTGCTCTCAGGGTCAGGCGGCACATCTCAAAGCCCCACGAGTCCCACATTCCGGGGAGTCAGGTTCCCATGAGATGCCTGGTGCTCCTGCGGCCCTGCACGCTCCTTAGGAAGCGCTGGGACTGAGGGAGGGGATAGGCTTCCAAGAGCGCTGCGCTCTCTGGGGCTCCGGTGTTCGCCAAAGTCTCTGCGGTGACTCTGCCAGCAGGGACACGCGCACAGACGCTCCGGGTCACCAGAGCCAAATGGAGTTTGGAATTCTGCCTGCCCGGTAGCCCTGGACGGGATAGCCTCTCCCCTATCCCCTACTCACCTGCTTCTCTGAGCCACGTCCTTTATTCCCTTTGCTCCTGGCTCCAGAAGACCTCTGCACAGCGACCGGGTTCCAAGACTCACCAAGAGGGGAGACTGGATATGGTAGTGGGAGGTACACTCGCCAGAGTCCCCACCCTGCCCTGGGGGATGGTGGTGGAGGGGTGCGGAACAGTCGACCTTGTCCCCGCTAAGCCCCCAGGATCCCTCGGGGACGTCGCACGCACGGTGGGTGACCGGGACCCCGGGAGGAAAAGACATGATGCATGCAAAACTTTGAGTCCTCCGGCGGCGACTGCGGGAAAGGCTATCGTTACTTCTGCCCGGGGCCGCTGCAGTTGCGGGGTTGTTGGCCGGATAGGGCGGCGGTGCGCAGCTTCCAGGCTCGAGGCGACCCTGCCCGGCTGAACCCGCGCAGCTCCTGGCCTCTCTGCACGGCTCTGCGCTCCGCCAGCCCGACTGCGCGCTCTCCCCGGCCCCGCGCGCTCCGCGCCTCTCTGGCGCCCCCAGCGGCCATGCGCAGCACAGCAGGGCCGGGTAGGGCCAAGCGCGCCCCGCCTCCTGCCTCCTCCGCCGCCCTCCTCCCCCTCGCAGAGCACTCAATGTCGGAACGTTCCGAAGATGACGTCGGAGCGTTCTCGAATCCCGTGTCTCTCGGCTGCTGCTGCCGAAGGAACAGGGAAAAAGCAACAAGAAGGAACAGCAATGGCGACACTGCACCGCAAAGTGCCCAGTCCGGAGGCGTTTCTGGGCAAACCCTGGTCCTCCTGGATCGACGCCGCCAAATTACACTGCTCCGACAGTAAGAACCCCACCGCCTGCTCCTCCTTTTATTACCCTGTAACCTTTCCATTCACCTAGAGCCACTGGGAAAAAGTGTGTGTGTGAGAGAGAGTGGCCCCCGGCGTCCTCCATGCTTCTCCCTCTCTCTCTAAATAAATACACACAGACACAGACCATCAGAGCACAGAGAGGCCCGGCTGCCAGCAAGGCTGTCTGTCTGTCTGTGTCCGGCTCCCTGGGGCAGGCAGCCCGCGGGGTGGGCTTTCGCAGCCCCACGGTGGTATCTGTTTAAAAGGCGACTCTGTTGCTGCTTGCATAGTTTTTTTGGTACCTATCTGGGCCAGGTAGATGGAAACCCGGACTCGGGAGAAAATGTTGCATTGTCAATTTTTGCAAGATTTTCAGATACAGTATCTATATCGATCTGTTTGCCAATAAACACTCTCCCTTCCCCCTTGACTTTGGCTTTCCCCCCCTTTTTTCCTCATTTTCTTTTTTCCTTTTCTTTTTCATCTGCAGATGTAGATTTAGAAGAGGCTGGAAAAGAGGGTGGCAAAAGCAGGGAGGTTATGAGGCTTAATAAAGAAGGTAAGTGGAGCTCTTGGCATTTTAGTGTTAGCTTGTGTGGCAGTCTTCACAGGCTTTGGAATATAATGTGAATTGTTCTGCTGGGTACAGAGTGACTAAGGCTTGTCAAAAATTGAGCACGCCCGGGTGACTACTGCTTCACTGCTAACTTCCTTCCAAGTATAAATACAACTAGGGTGGGGGGGGGATGCAGACTGGGGGAGGATGGAAGGCAGAAGTTTACTGTACTCCACTGGAGTCCACGTCCGAACACCCTGATGGTATCCGCCATTCTCCTTGGGGGCACCATTGGCCAATGGTGATGGTGGGGTTTGAAATCCCCGAGTAAGGCGTGGAATACCCTTCACATGCATTCCAACCTCCCTTGTGTGTAAATTCACAAGTTTTAATGAACCCCACATGGCGGATCATTCCAACAGCTACTTTTCCACTCTCGCTGAAAACCATTGCACATGGCCAGCCCTGACTGCAAGTGACATTTTGTGTCTGGGTGCGGGTTGTAGGTGCATCAGGATGTGCACATAGATCCCTAGCCTGCACTTTTCCCCAGTCTGTGTTTCCCGACATACAAACATGATACCTGAAAAGGGACACAGTGAATAGACAGATGAGCTTGGATTTGGGCCTGTGAGGGAAGCCTGTAGTGCCAGACCTGGGGCGACACATACCTGTAAGTTACTTTCGCCGTTTGCAAGTCCACTATTTGGCATGCTGGCTCCTGGCTTCAAATGAAGCTACTTGGGAGGCCACTTTCTGCTTAGAAAAAGGATGGGTTCATCTGAATTGTGATGTACTTGCCGGAGTTTCAATGGTGCTCCAACTGGCTGAAGTTGGTGCTGGGAAGAAGGTGCAGGAGATCGCTGGAAGGTGTCAAAAAAGTTCATACATAATTTGGCCATAGGAGCATTTGCTCATCCATAATGAATGGAGAAAACGCCATTTGACTCTATAGATCGGTCTACTGCTGACAGGGGGTGTTGCCTGAAAAGGTGGATGGAACTTACTTGAAAGGTGGACCTCACTTTGCTGACTGACACCCAAGATTGTTGGTTTTCAGTGTCCTCATCCATCCTTGAGTGCCCGGTGAGGAAAATTGTTCTTCTGGAAAGAATAATGCAGAGGTTAAAATGCACATTCAAGGGCAGTTCTCTAGCTCCGTGTCTGCTAATTAAGTACTTTGGGAACAAAACGTCACTCTAAAGATATTTGCCTCTCAGTATCTTGGCATGGTTTTGGCATGTGTGTTTAGGATGCACGAGGGACTGGTGTCAAGTGAGCTCCTCACAAGTGGCAGCTTATTTGTGCTAAATGTCCATGTGTGTTTGCAATGGAAGGGGATCCCTAGTGGCTCTCATTCTCCTCAGGTCTTGATCCACTTCGAGAGCTGAGCTCTCAGACCACCAGCCTTTTTGCCACGATGAAGGTGCAAACGCCTGTATGTTAAAGTTGACGAAAGGCTGTGGCGTGCATGGGATTAACCCCTGGCAGCCCTGGGTGACGAATTGGGACTGCAACCCACAAAGCTCAGATTCTCCGGCCACTGCTATCTATTTCAAAATACTCTTGTTCTCAGATTCTCTTTGCGGCACGAGAAATGGATTCTTTTAAGGGAAAATGAAAAGCTCTCCTTCCCTCAGAAGTCACAGATGTTACGTCTTACTTATTATGTCCTCTGTCCTGCAAAGGTACAAAGATTTTGCTTCTCATTGAATGCGTCTTCATGGGGGATACCCGCCGTTCAGTCGCCATGAAGTTGGCTTCCGTGGCCACGCATGGACTTCCTCTCTTTGTTGTGGGCCTGGTGGAGTGGCCTTGGGTGAGAAGTTGAGAAGTTCTAGGGTCACGTAGTACAGCAGCACAACTTTCCTTACAGATAAAAACATATGTGCAACAAATACATGTTCCGTGGTTGGGCTGGGACTCTGGGTTAGAGTGTTTGGTCACACTGGGCCTGCTAATCCATGTTCCGTGTTAAGAACTTCCAGGGTAGGCTGGGACTCTGTTAGAGTGTTTGGTCACACTGGGCCTGCTAATCCATGTTTTGTGGTAAGAACTTCCAGGGTAGGCTGGGACTCTGTGTTAGAGTGTTTGGTCACACTGGGCCTGCTAATCCATGTTCTGTGGTAAGAACTTCCAGGGCTGGGACTCTGTTACAGTGTTTGGTCACACTGGGGTTTGTTAGAGTCACAGGTGTGAGGCCTGAGGGTGGGTAGATATTTGTGGAGGGCCGTTCATCCCAGGACATAGTGTGGCCTTGTGGGACTCTGGGCATCTGTGTTTATGAATATGCCTGACTGGTGTGGTGGGCTGGAAGCAGGTCTTGAGGAGAACTATGGTAATAAAAGAATAAACGTTGAGGGTTGACATTGAGAAACGGCGGGATTTCTGTTGTGGAGCCGAATAAGCGACGTAGAATTTACCTGTAAACTCTTTTGAGTGCGTAGCCCAGGGGGCTTTGCGACATTGCCACTCCTCATTCGCCAGCCGTTTCACAGTCTGACGCAGAAACTCCGCTCCGGCGGAGTTTGCGCGCCGGCACATGTGTACCGACTTCCCTTCAGGGTCCGCTTCTTCCATCCTCCTCCTGTCTCTGTGAAGGCTCCTGGTCTCGGTTCCTCGCGTAAGCGGAACCACACAGTATTTGTTATTTTGTGCTGTCTTCTCTCTCTTGTGTTTTCAGGATTTATCGGTGTTATATGACGTATAGGTACATTCCTTTCCAAGGTAGCGTCATGTTCCCTACTATATACACCGCTCATCCATTGGGTGTGTGGGGCATTCCCACCTTTGGATCATTGCGAAGACTGCTTTTATGAGCGTTGGTGCAATGCGATCGTTTCTTAGACGGAGGTCAGAGAGGGAAGTTGGACTGGAAATAGGAAATAGGAGTCATTTTGCCTACTGAGCTGTCTCCCCACGGCTTTGGAAGGTACCGTAGGCACTAGCAGACTTTTGGATAACCTGGTAATGGCAGTATCGTTCCTGGCACCATCCCTGGTCCCACTAACCTTCCTTTTGCTTTGGCTCATCACCTGTATTGAGTAGGAACTCTGAGCTGGATGCTCTGAAGTCTCCATGAGGAGTCTCCTCCTCAGCTTTCTTATTCCCTCTCAGCAAAGGCATTTGAACTGTAAACTGTTGCTAATTCCTTTTTGGCCTGGGCTTGTGAGGGTTGCCTCAGAGTAGTTTTGCTGCAGGGCGAGCCAGCTCCCCGCTTAGGCCCTGGGGAGAGGTGCACCCCTCTGGGCTGATTCTCCAGCTGTGAAGCAAGGGGTTTGGGACTCACTGCCCACCACAATCCCCCTGAGACTTCTCTACTCCGGCTTCTCTAGTCAGTTCCCTGCCTTTAAGCTGTGATCATGCTGGACAGCCTAGCCGCCTCTAAAGAAACTTAAAACAACAACAACAAACAAAAGCCCCTCATGTTTTAAAAAATCAAACCAAACCAACAACAAACAGACAAAACAACCTTATGTGACTTCAGAAATATTGAGAATAACTGGGTATATTTTCTCAGTTTTTAAAAGTTTATCTCAGTGCTGACAAAAACCAATCACTGTGTTGTCTGTTTACTAGAAACAGTCGTGAATGGTTTGGGGTCACAGACCTCACCGAAGAGGGGCTGAGTCTAGACCATAGTAGAAAAGAGGGGCTGAGTCCAGACCCCACAGAGGAGAGGGCCTGAGTCCAGACCCCACAGAACCATGGCAGAAGTAGAGACCTGAGTTAAACGCGCACCACAAATGTCTTCTTCCCATGAAGAATACTGTAGCCTCAGCTTGGGTCTGTCAAGCTGGGAGCTTTCCTCAAGGAGGGTCCCAGGAACCTTGCTGGCCCAGTCGTCCTGAGAACTGAGTTGCTGATAGAAAATTCCAGGGAAGGCTGTTTTCCTGTGCTAACTCTGTAAGCCACACTCTTCTCTCCTCCAGTGTGGTAGGTGACGCCTGAAGACTTCTTACTTTGGGAAGCTGCTCTTGTTACTAAGGGCCTCAACCAACTTTTTAAAAAGAAATACCAACTCCTAGACAAAGAATGGGGTCCATGTGTCTCAGAAGAGCCCTAAAATATAAAACAGATGTTATCAGGGAGTGTGAATGAGATAATAGGAGAGACCTCGGCATACAGTAGGTGCCGAATGCATGCCTGCTTTCGTTCCTCTCATCATTAGGACTGCTGCCATCATTCATTACTGAAACTAGCTCGGTAAAATGGTATTATTTTAATTACCATGAATTTTTAAGTAATCTGTGGTAAAAAAGAAAAGGCATACTGTAGGAAGAACTTCAGTTTTAGAGCTAGGCGTGCTACGATTTTATTATGATTAATGATTTAAAAACAATTTATGTGGACATAGTGTTTTTCTTAGACTGCAGCTAAGAAGTTGGTTTTGTCAAAAGCAGAAAAATACTTAGGCATTCGTGGCTTCAGAACACGAGGAGCTGGTTTTGTTTGTTTGTTGTTTGTTTTTATTTTACTTGTGGTGCTTCCTGAGATTTACAAAAATACATTTGAAATGATAAGTCGTTCCATTTATTATGGATAAAAGCCAGTCCTCCAACGAGGACCTTTCTGGGCCTTTTGCAAGTCTGTACTTGCCCCAAGAGTCTTTTCTGAGGTTCCCAGCCTTTCATCTGGTGAAGGTAGATGAGAAATGCTTCCAGTCACAAAGTGAGCTGCAGCAGCAACGCTGTGTGTGAGAGGCCGGCCACACGCTCCCGAGACCCTGGAGGAGCAGGGAATGTGGGCATGATTTCTGCTTGGAAGGGAGCCGAGTGGAGGGGAAAAGGGCAGCTGGCCTGGGAAGATGATGTATTCTTCCGACCCAAGCCAGGGAAGCCAGAGACAGCCATGGAGATTTATGGGAAACTATCTTCAGCTTCTTTATCATTACATAGACAACTCCGTTATCTATGCTAATAGGAGATGGGAAGGCCGGAGTCTGCAGATTACACAGATAAACCTCGTTTTCACTATTAATTTCACTCTTACACCTAGCATCC